GAAAATGTATCTGTTTCCACATAACTGCTTCCAGTAGCTTCTACTTGTTTTACTCATATGAAGTGATCACCAAAACGAGTGAACTTCGGAATCTCTGTTTTAGCCATTTCTGCTGTCATATAATCACACTCAGTTGGTATGGACAGTAACTCCACTTTGGTGAAACTGTCATTGCACAGTTCTAAAGATGGAATCGTTCTGTGAGATACTAGTTATCTAAAGATTTTTACCAGGAAATATTTAAATATCTTCACTGAAAGAAAAAATGTAGCTACAAGTGGGAAAAATCCGCTATTTATTCCGGTGTTATATATAAAAAATGAAAGAAAAAAGAAACGAAAGCTTGTAGGCTGTCGTGGAGCCAGGTTCAAAAGACTGCAGAGAATAGAGTGCAATGGAGACGTGCTACTGAAGCCATATGTTCCATTACGAACCGAAAGGACAAATAATATATTATAAAAGAAATGAAGCTTCAGAAAAAACAAGCATAGAGTTGAAGTTAATATATGCGCGAAATTTGGGCTTTATGGTAGAATGTAATTCCATGTTAGATTTGCTTATTTGACTTATAACACACAGTGGTACAGTATTATTTACTTGGTGATATTTCAACCATAAATTATTACTGCTCATGATCATATCACTGTAATCACACTACTTTCGATAACTGATTTTTATAGCCCTGTCACCTCATATGATTTATTTCTATTGGTAGTAAAATTTCCCATGTCTCTGGCATAGGTATTGCGTCATTTATATCACATGTGTAGTGTGTTGATTCAATGAACAAGGATTCAGTAATCAAGTTCTCTCTCCCCCTAATTATATTGGATTTAAGTACAATGGTTTTATCCCACCCTATTGTGTGGTTGTGCGTGAATTCATATATATTGCAATAGCCGAGTTTTTTTTCTAGATTACTGATCCCATTGGGGTCTGTCATTCTATATTTGGCTAAATTCCTATGTTCAGCTATTCTAATTGACCCCGACCGGCTAGTTTGACCTCTGTACTTGCCCTCTCAGTCATTACATGGAATTTGATAGATTAAATTATTTTGCTGAATTGGTTCTATCAGATCCTTAAGGCAGCCGACAAAGCTTATCTCTGAGTGAGTTTGTAGGTTTCAATACCAACCACCTTAAATCCAGCTCTGTTGACTATCCTACGTAAAGTTTCTGATGTACTTTCCTTATTGGGTAACACAAAGAGGCTGTGAACTCCTTTTCTACTTGTGCTGTATTCATCATTCAGTCTTGTGTTACTGTTATTATTTCATTTCTTATGTGTGCGTACTAATTTCTTAATAAACCGTAAAGGATAATTATTAATCATAAATATTTGAGAACTGACTTAAATGCTCGCTAAAATTGTATTGTTATATTCATACTACTTGAGAGTAGCATAAAAATGTAAAAGTATTCACCTAGCTACAACAAACTAATTTCTTACAAGTATATTTTTACTAAACCAGGATGCACTTTGTGGCTATGTTTAGAGCAGTTTCTGCAGACTGAGAAAATATAGTTTTTGAGTCAGTAAGTACTAATGATAAAGTGAAAGAAAAACGATTTTTTCCGTGAGAAACTGTCGTTCTTCTAAAAACCGTAAATAACAACGAGGCAAGTCACCATCCCTAAGAGTTTCCTTGAAGTATTTGAAAGATGTCGAAGATATCCTTTTACCATGTCAACCGAGTATTTCCAGTACCTACGAAATCTGTGCCATATTTTACAGGCCATGGCTTTTGAGGGATGGGGAGCGGAAAGCCACGCATGATAACCCAAACAGAAACGCCTCTAAAGTTGTCCATGTCATGCCAAAACTGCCAAGGGAATAGTCTTATGTAAAACTGTTTGTTTATTCTATCACATGGCAAGAGTGGTCAGTGATACTATTGTTTGACTGTAAAGGTCCATTTTTTATCAGTAGGCAGTTCAATAGTAAAGTTTCACGGTCAATATACATTTGATAAGAGTGGTGGTGGGTTGATTGCAGTGGACAAAATTCAAGGGCGGTTAATGGAAACAAGAACTGGTTGGAAGAGATAAGATATCAGTTGAGTGACGTCAAAAAAGGGTGAAAATGATGAAAATGATAATGATAAGTTTTTAAAAAATAAGCAAGGTTCACGGAAGTAAAAATTATTCAAATAGACAGTATATAAAATAGCCAAGTTAGGTAAACATCTTTTCCTAATTGTTTTGAGTACACTGCCTGTTTCTCCAAACATATAAAGCTTTAGTGCATCACTCACGTACATATGATGAAAAGGCAGGTCTTTGCAGTAGTTAAACTTAGTCCTGTAGATTACTTGAAAAAATTATACTTGCGAGCCTAAATGACCTGATTCCATGAGGTGCCCTCAAGCGAACCATGTTTTTCAATAAGTGTCTTTCAACCATCAAACTGGATAGCGTCCAGTAATGCACTGCAGAGGCGGGTGGAAAGGGGATATGGCTCTTATAATATCCACAAAAGTATGTGAGATGACAGATCCAAACAGAAGTGAACATAAATAGTAAAGCGCCCTTGAAACAGTATCGAATCGGTTCCACAGAATCCTAGACACAGGCTAGTAAAATAAAAACTATTTTCAGTTCAGTCCATTAGTCCACTGCTGAATATTTCAGCTACTGTGAATATTTTCAACTGAAGTGTATGCAAGTTCGCATCGGTAGACTGATGATGTAAATCACATTTAAATTCAGGGTTATTCGTACTTTTTAGCCTTTTACCATAGAGCAAGAAGTTTGTTGAGAGTCTCCACTATCTTTTTAAAAACTTTCAGAAATACAGTCGCTTACTACTTGACACAGATGTATCTCTCTTTACTATACAGATCAGAAAAATGCAACATTAAGTAAAAACGCAGTATTCACTAAGTATAGGGTGAATTTTATCAGCTCTGTGAAGCAGTACATTGGGTGAATTCAGCACCGTTTACACTTTTGCATCCATGAAGTTAGTTCAACAGTGAAATGATGTAGCCCTTCATCTGGTATACCAATGCATATAGACCACAATGGACGCTAAGTCTCTCAGAAAAATTTGTGAATCTTAGGTTACACCTCGAGAATATCAGCGAAGTTTTAGAAGTCCACTGTAAATGCCTACTGAGTGGTAAAGAGACTTTCTGATATGAACTGGATGAATCAAAAAGTTAAGAAACGTCCCATAGTCACACGTTATGAAATTAGGTCAACGAAACAATTAAAGTTGACTACAGAAACTCAAGCGATAACTAATGATTTCCAAAAATACCTTAAAAATCACTTTTACCACATGTGATCATTTTTGGATTTCATGCTGATGATGATACCCGGAATGACAATGAAAGCTCTGTATTTAAAATTTTGAGCTTAAAAGCTGTAACAGTACCAAAAGCACTACATTTAATTAGTCTTTAATTCATATCTCCTACTTAGTAATTAGCTTTGGGAGAACAGAATTTGAGAGTTTCCATAGCTTCTGAATTTTGGGTAAATTCTTGGGGCATAGGAATATTGGGGAACCAAAATTTAACTGTTCATTGCAGGAGTACACTTCAAACTACTTAAATAAATTAAAGTATCATTTGACCATCTGAGTAAGCCATAGTTTGGCGGATTAGTATTTATACTGGCTGGTGATTGAAGTGAAATAAAATTCTGACGGGAAGTCGGGTCTTGCAGCTCAGTTGGTAGGGTGCCGGGCTGGCAACTCAATGGTCCGAGTCCGTTCGTGGTTTGGCTTTCCATCTCATCTTCAATCATCACCCAGTACAAATTAAAATAGTTAGGTTTGTAAGCACTTTATGAAATTGAACTACAACGACCAACAATCTGGATAAAACATCTCACGACAGCAGCCTCCGTTTGCGCACCATACCTCCTCACTAGATAGAGACCTGCACTACTCATACTGAAGTGAAAAAATTGTTGTTAAGTTGTATCAGTAGTTATTTGATAAAAATTCTTTCCATCTCAACCTGTGATGAAACTCACACATTTTTGCGTTGATTCTTTACTAAGGACTATTTAAAAACCTGTAATATAGACAAGCATTACAATTAATGAACACCGTCTACTTATTTGTAACAATGAAGGCAGAACATAGGGGAAGTGTCACTTAATTTCTAGTTATGATGAATTGAACTGACGCCAAACTTTTGACAGTTTACTTTTCAAGTCACATATACTAGGAAAAATATAATACGTCATAAACAATTGTTAAATTTGCCAGGAATTACATTCCACATTGTTGTATAAGTCAGATAAAACCCACGTCACTGATCTCAAAAATCAATCAAACCGTTACTAAAGTATTTCTACCAATGAAGTCATTGAATGCTGATCGTTGTGTACATTTCAGTTAAGTGACAACTTTAGTGATTAATCATTAGAAAGTCAACGAATTCGTTCCACCAATCTAACAGGTTCATCATTGTAACGATATCGATTCACCAAAAGTATAGTAGTTTCCCCTAACAATCTTATCCTCATAGTGTAGATTTTCAAAATGACTGTTAGCTAATAGCCAGACTTAATACTATCATACATTCTAATTTAAAACAGACTGCACAAGACAAATGTTGCATTATGTAGTAAGTTCATTAGTATCATGTTGAATGAATGATTTTTGTTAATATTTTCGTGTTCTCTTGGTTTTGATATTTGGTAGTGAATATTTCTTCACTAGTCTGGGTGACTTGGCTACCAATTACTTCATCAAATACCTATAACCAAATATTATAAGTTCTGTAGACTATCGAATAAATTTGAACTACATCCCGAGGTACAAATCAACTCTGATTTGTTAAATGATGGATATCTGGAGTGTCAACTCAAGTGTCATGTTACACAGTAGCACAGTATAAGCGAAACTCATAATCTGGCATGTCTCAAAAGTGAAATATTTATAAATAACACTGTTAGGTTACTGAATAATAGTAAGTAGTATGTAAATATTTAGTAAATTTCACAAATCATGTTCACCATATTTGATTTTTCACACTGTAGAATTTCATCGTAAGAGTCAATCAACAAAATTCAAGTATGGTGTTAACTCGTGTATGCCCACCAACAACAATACTACGTACATCCAGCAGAATTCGGGAACACTTCAGTGGCTGTGGTGTTGGTAGTAATACTAAAATTGGTTTCTTGCCGATCAAACATAATTTAATTGAGATACTCCCACATGATGGTTATTGTCTAACTGGAGATAAGAAGATGCGTTTAATATTCAAAAGCTTGATACATCTAATTGAATTCTACTTACGTGTTCAGGTCAGGTAAGCTGACGACATTGAAGATATTTCATAATGTTATTTGTTTTGACAATATTTCTGGCTTTTCATGGGATTTCGTAAACTCCAACAATACACATATTTACATACGCTTTCTAGCTCATACTAGTTCATCATGAGTGCTTATTAGACGATGAATGCTGATTTGATCGAAGGTTTTGTGAGGTGTGGATCTATCTGAGAGTAGTTCGTATCACCAACCGACATTCATATTTTAGTGTCCCACCGTTTTCAACGCTCCCCTTACTGCTATTATATAGCATAGTGATAACTAGTTATTTTGAATCGTAATTTATTCAAACAAAACTAGGCACTTATGTGTTTTGCACAGATTCACTTCGTTTGAGGTTATATCTCAGCATACCTGACTGGTGATTTCAGCTCTGCTTGAAACCTCCCCATACCAATGAAATCTTTTTAGAAAACAGCACTCATGAATAATCGTTTGTGCTATAGATTGTAACTATGATGCCATTAAGTTTCTCTCAAACGTTGCCAGTTCTAGCACATAACATACATTTACATGCTTATGAAAGTTTGACTCCTAGTCATATATCTATTCATAAATCTACTCACCAATGGTTCTGCAATGGAAACTGATAGCTTGTCGTAGGTGGGATAACTGCCGTGTTAACATATATCCCAACCGCATTCTATAACTTACACAGCACCATATAACAAAACATCCACTATAACTATGATATTCACTTAAACCTTGGTACTCCGATTGGAGTCGCAAAAATACATGTTGCAGTTGTTAACTGATTAACAAACAGTACCAGGTATTGATTAGATTATTCATCAGTTTCAACAGACAGCAAACCAAGAATTCAGATTTACCACCCCTTGCACATGTTACTGCTACAATATCACTAACAGTGGAGCCCATTTCTGAGAAGAAATTCATAGTCTTTAACTAAATTCTACTTGTGAATGGTTATTTAAACATTTGTGGTCGATAAACGTTCTCTGTTTACAAACTTAAAACAAACAGAGCAGACATTTCAATATCTTGAATATCACTTACAGAAGACTGGGTATAAATGATATTTGGTTTCAAGTAAATGGGGATTTTACTTATTTCAGGGGTTAACAATAGTTAAAGAACCAATGAAAACCTGGAAGCACTGTCCAGCTGCTTTCTCCCCGCATGGGACTTCTCAGCAATATTCAAGACCCAAAGTTCTTGAACTCCATCGCTCTCTGGGTTGTGACTGCATGCTGCTGAGGAGCTCTATACTTGGACGAAACATGTATCCAGCTGTCCCAGTTTTTCAGTAGTTCTTCAACTAATATCAGTTTGCGATGAATAGTACCCCAAAGTAAATAGTATTACCTAATCAGGTACTGTCTATCAACTGAAGATGTACAAACTATTATGGCACTTTGACTTGACGTGATGCATAATTTCTAAGTTATTCGTTCTTAATTTGAGCAATAACAGCCGAATTCACCGAAGTAACAAAAATGAGTATCTGGATACGTTAGTTGACTACTTAAAGTCAACGACTTTGCTATGTATATAAAAGATATTTCCAGGGTAGTGTAGACCCATATTACTGATGGATAGTGATTAGCAGCTAAACAAGTGACGCCCGTCCTGTCCTACTCTGAACTTGTCAGCTACGTTGTTTCCACCCTGACTCGAACACGGGACTGACCACTTCAAACACCACAGTACTAACCACCGGGCCACCAAGTCACGATGACCACTTCTTGTGCAATGGATATAGGTAGAATACAAGTAACAGCATAATGTAGACCTCGTTCATAGTCTCGAACAGAATGTATACACCGTAACAAGAAAACCAATTCCTCATTATTGTTATATAATTCCATCGTTTATTGTTATTAACAAGATGTATTAGTAACATTGAGGTTTTTCCACTCTCAGTGACAGGCAATCTAAGGGAATAAAGAGAATCGACTTTTTTGTAGCTGAAGATAATCTAACCTGTATAACTGTTGGCTTTTAATGCACTGCGTAATTATGACCCACTTTAATTACCTAAATACCTCGTCATCTAATTAATGAAGCGAATTTTTTCAGCTGCTGGTGAAGTGCTTAGCTGATGGCACATAGCTAGTCGTCTCTCGCTGGATATGAGGATTGCCAGACGGTTCCAATGGTTATGGTAGGAATACTTACAAAATAATGCAGTTAGGTGACTTCCCAGTAAATTATCCTTAGAGATAAATAGAATAAATGGCCAAAATGTATTCAGCCCAATCTCATTTCTTTTTTTCTGCCCGTTAGGATAGAGATTAATCTAAGCCGTTTGGTGACTCTCTAGTGACCGATCAGCATGTCTAATCAAGTGAACTCATGTATGATTAGCTGAGTGGTAATGTGTTTGACCACGGCACTAAGCGATGAGAGTTAGAATCTCGTGGCAGACATCATTTTCTTAGAAGTTACAGATACTTATTGTTGACAAGTGTCAATAAGCACGAAACCTAGGTTCACCTCCGCATGGATGACCTGACTTCCTATACAAGTACTCTCCTCCGAGCTGTAGCACTGCTTGCACGACGGTTTCACCACTCGCATTCAATGCTATAAAGGTATGTGTTGTGAGACCCTAGTTTTGCACAAAACATTGTTATCATATTGTCGGAGAAATAAACTCTCCCATAATCCAGCTTCAGTCTTCTCTCTATTCGTCCCGGGGTTTCAGTCAGTGCCTCTGGCGTACTAAGTTAGCTGTCAGCTAAGCGTGCGTATTATATTCCTTCCGGAATATGTAACCGTTGGCGATGAAGATATATAACAGTATCTGTCGTCAAAAGTCTGTAAAGTCTTTGCATATTCCGCTTTCAACAGCTATGTTTCACAACAGCATACTCGGACAGAGGGAACTGATGAACAGTTTACTTGACTTTCAGTGAGTAGTTGGGTTTATCTCCTGCTTCATGGATTGCGTAAGTCACCTGGTGCAAAGAAGCCTTTTAAATCTTAGCTAAGATTTCTCCAGCAGCCAACCCATTTGAGCTGATGCAATTCCTCAAGGAAGGTGATGGGAGTAAAGCATTCTACTGCTTCACTCCCTATCCTCAAAGCAAGATTCCAAGCGATGACTCATTATTTACACGAATATTTATATCTGCTTACCAATTATTACTACTAATAAAAACACTTCTTCCATCAAAAGACTTAATACATTACATGATATTGCTTCGAAATTGGATTTACATTAGGTTCATTTAGCATGCTAATTAAATCAATATCTCGTGACGAAATCAATAAAAAAAGTCCATAATTGACTTGAAATTTGTAATATAATAGTTCCACACTTTGGAAATACAATATCAAGATACTTATATGCATTGCTCTGCTTGCCATTATTATTATTATCATTATTATCATTACTTTACTGTTTGTAGTTCACGTAGTTCATTTCTTCGTCTACCAATGGTAATCTGTCAGGCTAAAACAATGGAGGAACTTGAAAAATATAATAAACAAGGGATAGGTAAGTTATGATAACCTGCAGTGTCCACACATATTTTACGATGAATTTCATATTGTCTCATCCTAAGTGCTAACCATATTCAATTAAGAGGCTCACCAACGCAGTGTGCTTTTGATGGATGTTAGTTATTTGGAGTCAGTTGGGAGGAAACCTTGGACTTAAGTTTCGTGCTTGTTGGTAAGGGGTATCTGCAACCCCAAGGGTACTCTGAAGATCTGAGCACACCTCACTCATCGCTGTAGTAACAGACGTTATCACTGGGCTCTTCAGTTCATAGGACTGAATTAGATACACTGATTAGTAAACATTGAATGGATGTTGAATGTCTTTTTGCATATCCGTTTCAAAATTATCAGCAGGATGATTTTCCAACCTATTAATGGTCAGTTTACGACAGATAAGTAATCTGATGACTGATCATACAGCTTAATAGTGTGGAAGTGGCCTTATCCCCTGTGCTAAAATCAATTAGAATAAGTGTAGATGACAAACTGCGAGAAGCTATTTACTTAGAAGTCCAATTATAGTAGATAAGTGCTACGTGATCGAAGGTGAACAGTGTTATTGAATGATACAAAGAAGCAGTTCTTACTAAAAAGGTATTCACTCCTGGTTAATCTAAACCTGCAGTAAATTGGATATCTGGTCAACCTTGATTGTCACAGTTTTGCTAAAATAAGTTAGCAGGTTATGTTGAAACCAAAATAAAGCCATATGCCACATTCATGTGATGATCGCATCTTAATCACGGGAACTTTCAGTCAAGTTGAACAGCCTTTTCAAAAGCTGATTACCTGACAGAACATAATGTAACAAAACACCCCAACAATACATTTTTAAGACTATATGTTTTCCAGGGTTGAAATAACTTCTCTGGAAACGGTCATTTTTAAGTCAACAGCTTTACAAAGTTGGGATTCGATCATTTTTAACCAATCAAATCAAAGTAATATCAACTATACATATAGACAGGTAAGATGAGCCAATCATATTCTATCTCTGGTGGTCATGATTGCACCAATCAGGTGATGGTGCTCAGTTCAATCTGCATGGCATGCTAATAAGTCAACTAACAATCGAGCTAAGGGAAGCACCATACGTGGAGGTTTGTGTTTTAGAATATATAAAAGTAGCATTGCGTTTACCGTCTGATGGTTGGTAGATATGTGTGAATCCCTGAAACTGTTTTTTGCCTGTTAGCGATTATCACTAAATATGTTTGCAACCTTAACAAGTTGACTAGTCCTCTCTCAATAATTAAAACTTTTGTCATTTATTGCACAATGACTGGTAAAGTTCATGACTTGCTTCAGATGATAGAAACGATATCCCAAGCTGCTGAAATTGATCAGTAGATTTAAGTTCAGATTTCTGTAGAGTGAGTACGATGCGATCTTTCGTTCTCACAGCTGAAATGTCTTGGATTGAAGGACTACCTGAGCATTTGACCTTCAAAGGTTTGAATAAAATATCCTGGCATAAGATAAAAAGTCACATACAAATGTAAAATTTACCATTATTTTCTGGATAACCAACTCCTTAACACTGGTGAAACTGATTCCATAATGTGTGGTATGTTCAATACACTAACTCCCGTCTAAACAATGCAGAACTACCCCCACCATCCAGACACAAATCTACTATGTGCTAGGATATCTAATAAACATGAAAGAGGGGAAGTGATCGGTCGGAAATCAGCCAATCACTGTGAGAATATCTTTTAAAATATATGGTGATACGAACTGAGAGGCGACTTTAAGGGCTACCCTAGCAACGACTGAAATAACCAATTAAGTTTCTTCATATCGGTTGGAAAGACAAATTTTCATAAAATCGAAAAGTCTAACTGGTCACTTCAGTTGCTACTAGAGTGGCCTTTTAAGTCACTCCAAAATGACTTTTTAAAGTCTATGGCGATAAAACATTGTTTCATCCAGTGTCATATCACATGACACTCGAGAGAAAGCGTGAACTCAGTTCACTTAAGTAAAATAAGTCCTAAGCTATTACTATGCAAAACTTATTTACGGAAATGATGAATGAAGCTGAAGAGTAATGTAGATGATTACGGGGAGCAAACCATTTGTTATCAGTTGACTATCTCAGATAGCCATAGTTTGGCAGACTAGCATTTGCACTAGGTGATATCTGAAAGTGAAATGAAAATTGGGACCGCAGTCGGATTTGAACCAACGGCCATCAGGTTTCCTCTCCGATGCTCTATCAACCGAGCTACAAGGTTAGTACAAACCATTCGTCGCTGGGTTAAACAGGTTAATACTCTATTGACTAAATCATATGATAGAACTTACGGGAAACTTTGAAGGCCACATTAGCGACTGATGAGACAACCAATCACGTTTCGATATTCCATGAAAAATTGTCCTCGCAGCCAAAATACAACAGCCTGACTGGTTATTTTGGCAGTTGTTAGGATGGCCTTTAAAGTCGCCCCTTTAAAAGCCACCATAGCAACAACTGAAATAACCAATTAGACTTCTCTATTTCCTGAAAATCTACCTTTTGCAGCCGAAACAAAGAAACCAAATTGGTTACTTCGATTGTTACTAAGGTGACCTTTAAAACCATCCGAATATACAGTAAGTAAAAAGTGCTCTATAGCTGTACAGCGTATCACCTAAATCTGATAGTGATTTACCTGTTAAGTTGGTTGGAATAGCTCACAAGAAAAACCTGTTGTTTGCAGATGGAAGAAATATAATTCAGAATCTTTGAATAAAAGCAACCCAATATAAGGTGATAAAGGAAGCAAAAGTTAAAGCCACTGAAGAAAAATACTTCCATCAGAAAAAAGCCATCCAATACCATACGAAAAATAGCTGCTTTTTAGTAATAATCATATGTAAGGCCTAGTAGTAAGCTAAAGCTTTGCTCATTTGGTTTATGTATCCCATTGTATGATAAATTAGCGATCAAAAAGGTTTGAACGAAAACTTAGAAATGACTATCGTCTAATACAACGTTTTTTTACTACCCAAGTAAACAGCCTTTTGCTTTATTTTGACAATATTACATAAGTATGACCATAAACGGTGTGAATTTCTTTCCAAGAAATTTGGAGTCAAAGCAAACAAGCGACTTCTCAACAATCAACCAAAACTTTCGAGTTTCGCGTAAAATCCAAAACACAGGATTAATTTGAAATACGGTTCTATATTAATAAACAATATTGAGTAATAAGATATAAGACATAAACCTCAAATCATGAGGTATCTGTGGGTTTATCGCTATCAAAGCACCTTAAAAAGAGTGCGTCAACAGTAAAAACACCAAATCTGTGTCCAAGCAACCAGAAAGGAATTTAAATTGATGCGCGTTAGTTCTCACTATGAGATAAAGACGCAAGATAAATAGGACATCAGGGAACAACGAAAGAAATTACAACACAATCATGATCTATGAAAGATACTAATATCTACGGGTGTTAAATGGTGAACAAGATACGACTGAAGACAATTAGCAGTCAAGGATGTGGGTGAAGTGAAATTATTAGGAAACTACTCAAAAATACTAAGTAGCATAAAACTGAACATAAAAGGGGTAAACGAGAACAGATAAGAAAGGGTTTGACAAACTGTATATTCCGACTGGTTGGCCACACAGGTCACGGCTTCTCATTAGAACTTCCCGATATCCATGAACACTATAGAGTAATGCTCATTAGTGACTTGCTTCCAGATGGATATCAGGAAGTTCTAATAAGAAGCCATGACCTGTGGGGTCAACCAGTCGGAAGTGAAGTGGATGCTAACTGAAAACTGCATATTCGTTTGTAATTCTCCAAATACATGCCAACTATGATGCGAATGGATTTCCCTCGTTGGCTTTGATAAGCACAGTTTTGTATGCAAGTAATTAGTGATTACCCAGTATGCACACAGTCGTACAGATAGCCGGTTGACATTTAAAGGGGTACTGGTTAGCTTCCTTGGAGGCTTAAATCTCTAGTTAAATCCAGTTAGAAAGAGTAAGTCAAAGGTAGGATGGATAGACCTCGGCGTCGAGTTCACTTGTCGGAAACTCACAGTAATGCTAATCAATATACGTGTATATGTACTCTGATAGGTCAACAGTGAATGAAACTGATCTGGATTACTTCATACGGTGGATAAATTACCGAAATAGATGAAAACATTCTACCAGTTAAGTTAACCTGTAATGGTCTACTTACTCATCAGTTCATGCATATAAATGTTACTTGAGAAGTGGATTCCAAGTTTATTGTTTTAGTGAAACATCTACATAAACTTCACACATCAAAATAATGCTCAAATGAGTCAATGATCAATGAAATATTCAATATATCAATGGTTTTCACCATTTGCTTACTCCACACTACATCAGGTATTCAACACAGAGTTACTTTGTGTAACACATGCACAGTTGGACAATTTCCACCTGAAACAACATAGTCTATATAAAAAAATAACTATCTGAAATCACTTCAAGTTAAATCATATCAGTTTCAGGAGGAAAAACAAACTATAAAGGTGAACATCAGATAGTCATTACTGCCTTCAGCAATGAGGTCAAGATATTTAAGTTTCTTATCAGTCTGACTATCTGAGAGGGACAAAGTTTGGCAGACGCATTGATATTGGGTAATGATTGAGGGTGAAATGAAAGTCTGGGCCACTGCAAGAATCGAAATAGCTACCACTGGCCTCTGGGTCCGGCACCGTACCAAGATCTAGCTGTGAAGTTGATCCTAATCTAACTTCAATCAACAAGGGTTTTACGCCACTGCTATATGAATCCTTGATGCATTACTATCTGCTCATCACATTCACATTGGCTGCCGAGCCAGGACTTGCCATTTCAATCGAAATCATCCTGAATTAGAGAGAAGGAGCATCCGATTGATTATCAGTTTGACTATCTGAGATAACCATGGATTGGCAGACTTTCACTGACACTGGGGGATTTAACTGATAATTCAGTCAATAATACTGACCAGTAGTCCAGTCCGAATGGGTTTG